GTAGATGTGGATTTGATATAATTTCATGATGCCTAAATATGTTGGTGTGGTTAATGGTTTGAACATTGGACTATGACTCTGGAGACTAGGGTTGGAATCCCTGCTTGGCCATGAAAACCTACTCAGGGGCTAAGCAGACGGCGCAAAGCACCTTCTTCAGGGCAAGGAAGGGGAGGGGAATCCACACGCTGGGCGCCCCAACCCCTTCCCGAAGACATCGTCAGAGCACCGGACCCTCCGCACGTCTGGCGCTCTGAGGATGCCTATCCGCCGCAGCGTCCACACATGCTGCGGTGGAAAAGTCACCGAAGGTGCGCTGGCAGCCTTTTGCGGCACATCTTCAGCGATTTGCGGAAAGAGCGCTATTTTAGCGCTTCTTCATGGGGCGGCGAAGCTGCGCCACGGGGCTGAGGGATGCGGATGCCTCGGCCCCGCGACGCAGCTTCCTGGGGCGGCCCCATGCCACCCGTCTGCTTCTCCCCTCAGTGACCTTGGGCAAGTCACACACTCTCAGCCCCAGAGGGAGGCAAATACAACTCCCCTGAACAAATCCTGCCAATAAAATCCCATTGAAGACACATTGAACAACAACAACAAATATGTCACCAGAATGTTTCATCCTGCCTCATGGGTGAATTGGTATCATTACAGTCACTTCCTATGCACTGCTATACAACCTTTCCCACTTCTCCTTACCATGTCTGTCCCATAATAGTTGCCATCAAACACCAACCCCTCCTGGTTGTCATAGGAGGACCAATCTTGGAATGCTGGGGGAACACGGGGATAATCCAGCTGCTTGTAAGAGCCAACTGGGGAATAATCTTCTTCTGGGTAGTGTTCAAGTTCATCAGGAGAAAGGTTGGGGTAGTCAGTTTCTGGCGTCGGAGGCTGATGGTTTCAAACAGAGACCAGTTACACACACATACACACTTCTTCTCTTAAAAATTTGCAGCAGGATTCATTTTCTTAGAACAGAAATGGGGAACCCAATGTCCATCAGATGTTTTTGAACTCCCATTCCCATTAGCTGTAATCAATGGTGAAGCATGAAGGAGTACTACTTCATCAACATCTGGAGGGACTGCTCCCTCCCCCTGCAAAAATGCAGAACAAAAAGCAACCTGGAGGTTACAGATTAATATTCCAAAAGACATTGCCTACTGAACTTTCCAGACTTACAATACAGAGGCCTACTGCTTTGATTCAAAGGCTCAGAATTTGGATATGACGATGTTCATCAGACCCCAAATCAAATAACAAAATTCAAACCACAGGCACATGGCAAAGCCCTGTTCTCCAAAACAGGAATTACCAATCTATGGGCTCAGTGTAGCTTTCTCTCAAAATTAATTGCCAGTCCATTGGTGGCCCTGTCAAATTGTGTCAAGAGATTGGGGGGGAAAAACTTTGCCCAGAGATTTATTCCACCAAAAGTAGAAAGATTTCAAGTTGTAAACAAGAGATCAACCCACACTTTAAAGTGAAATCTTGCTGCTGGATTTAGTATGCAGTGGGTAAACATAAGCAATATGTATTTATTTAAAAAACAAACAAACAACCCATACAGTGCACAAGAAAATGTGCTTCATGGTTGTGACACTCTTATTGGCAGATGGTGCCAACTTAATCATGGTGCACAAGCACCTAGAAGGACAAGGAGTTAGTTTCTGTTGAGAATATATATATATATAT